GATGGCTCTCGGAAATAAAGAAATTGAAACTAAAACTGAACGGGATGAGGTAAACGTTTCCACTTGTCCATGGCACACATCCCTGCTACTAGGAACTAAAACAAGTTTTTTTCTTCCATCCAGACGGCATCGCTTTTTATAAATTTCCATTAAATGTCCCCTACCAGTTGTACCCATGTCGAAAATGTTTGTGGTGACCCTTTCATCGTATATATCTTTTCGATTTTAAAGGCGTTGGTAAGATCTCTTGTGCGACGGTGTTTCGAGGTTTGTATGTCCGGTTTTTAAACCCAGGTATGGATTTTGTAGCTCGTCTTTGTACGTTCTCATTGATATTAATATCTTTGACTTTGTATGGATTTCACACACCAGAAGCATATTCTGGGTAAGGTCTAACTAATGCCCTAAATAAGAGCTTGACCATTGACACATCTAGTTATACAAAAAGGATCTGTATCAATATTGCCTTATTCACGATTTAGTTTATATGGGTACTGAAGTTAAGATCCTCACCCATTGTTATGCCAAGGTCCATTATACCAAGGTCCTTTTTCTGATGAAATGGTATGAAGGGTAATTTTCTTTCCTCCAGTTCCTGACATGAAGTAATTTCTTGTTCTAATTGGCTTGCTTGACAGAACCTTGCATTTGTGTGGATGTAACTTCAGTAGCCATTTCGCAGACCAGCTTTAAAGTTTGTCGAGATCATTCTGTATAATTTGTACATATTCTTCACTGTTTATTTGTCTGTATAATTGCATGTCATCCGCGAATAATGCAGATGGAGATATGGGTACTTCAGGTAAGTCGATAATATAAACCACAAATAAAATTGGACCAAGAACGCTTCCTTGTGGAATGCCGCTTATCACGGGATATTTTATGGATAATTTTCCATTGACTAACACTATCTAGCATCTGTTACTGGTACTTCAGTTCATATTGACCAGTGGCAGAGGTTTTTCATTTTCCTCAATCCCCCCTCAATCCCCCCCCTCAGGAACCAGCAACAGCCAATTAGTTATATGCGTTGCCAAAAAATGACATTTAGTTATTTGCATGAGACCCGGATATTAAATATGTTTAGTTTGTTTTGTTTTGAACCAAGAGTTGTACGAGGCAAAGTCGTCTACGTCGGATTTTAGGTTTTCAAATGTTCATGACCATAATTGAGTGTCCTCGTGCCTCTGTATTTTACGTTGAATTTTCGTAAGTATTCGTACATGACCATGCAAATGCACATTAACATTTCATTTGTTGTCAATGCGTTTTTTAAAATCTTCGCCTTCAGAAGATATTTTAAATATCTATATATGATCTATATGTAGATGGGAGAGGATGGGACGCGGAAAAATAACAAAGACAAGTTCTGTGGCTGTTCGATACAGATAACATGATATCCCCAGCACACTAATTTTCCAATTTTGTTCTGTCTATAAGAGATTATAAGCTACTACGAACTTTCCAAAATGTCAGGAGCAACGTCCGCCCTGATGTCGCGATGTCGCGATGTCTGCATCAAGCTTTGCATTATCACGGTTTTACTATTCTATATAGTTATGTAAATTTAATGCATTGTGCAGATATATTCATGATACTTCAGTCTCGTGTCTATTGTTGAGCAAAGCAGAACGTATGTACAACTGTAACACGTTTAAGATACACGAGGATCTTCAATAGTTCCTATTACATGTGACTTTCATAAAACGAGCTTTATCAAGTTTTATAGAATGTATAAAGGGAATGAGTTTGCGATTCTTATCATCACATACTCAACCAAAGCATGTTCAAATCAATTGAAAACGTCACCGGTTTGTCGCGCGATCGTTGCCGTGAATGTGTGACGCCGCAGTACCGCGTTATTCCTCATGACGCTACAATAGGTGATAAAATACATTATATGAAAAAGGCTGGGAAGTTCTCAGCCTGGCAAGCTAAACATGAAATTACAGCATTATTTTAAAGTGAGTGATTTGCAATTTTTATGCTAAAATCATTTTGGAAGTAGCTTTAATTTGTGCGTCCGTGTCTCTGTGCGTCCGGTGGCTTTTTCTTGAAAGATACGCCAGTTCTTATATTTATGACCTTGAAAAAAGGGCCAAAGCCATTCAATTGAACAAGCAACATAGCTTATTCATCCCAGCATGCTACAAACCAAATAAACATACTAACCTGCATTTAGGTATCTTTGTTATACAGGAGTTGTTATTTAAAGGTTTGAACATATTTGGTCATTCGTTTGAACAAACACACTTGATAGACATTCATCCTAGCATATATAACAAACTAAATCGGATGACTTGGTGACCTTGCCAGATAAACAGACTTGATAGCCTTTTATTCAAGCATGTTACACCCCTGCAGGTGGGGACTGGGAAAAGTGTATCATAAAAGGCGACTAATGCGACTAATGCGGGAACCCCCTGCAGAATTGCGGATTCGCTTTTGTGCCTTCTATTTGGGGACACAAAAGTGACCAAAATAAATTTACTGCCCCATTGCAATATTTGGAATCTTTATCTTTCTTTCTACTTCTAACTACTTTTGATTTCCTAGCGCCTTGCTTGGCAACACCTCACTTTTGACTTTAATGTTGAGCGTTCACCCAGGTGAGGAGGGAGGCAATGGGTTCTGTCCACAGGCTGGACATACCAAAATCCTTAGAAATGGTAGTTGCTTAACGTTCTGCATTAAGGTGAATGGCAACAAGAGGGCCAGAGGGCCTGTGTCGCTCACCTGGATATCTAAGAAAGCATGGCAAAAAAATATTCTCCAAATGAGATCCAACCTTGTAGCATATCTGTATTAGATTTTTCATGCCCAGCATTTGTATTTATAGTTTTGGGTTGGGGATCTCAATTGTTTCGAAGTTATGACCCAAGGGTTAAGTCTACAATGGTGGGGCAAACCCTGGGGTCAATTCTAATATCATGACTGCATTCGTCTCTTTATGCCCAACAATTGTATATATAGTTTTGGGGTGGGGATCTTAACCATTTCAAAGTTATGACCCAAGGGTTAAGTGTCCAAGGATGGGGCAGACCCCAAGGCCATCTTGGAAGCATATACAGTTATAGGATGGGGATCTCAACTGTTTCCAAGCCATGACTAAGAAACTAGACCACTAGGGGTTTGGTCAGACCCCAGTGTCTATTCTTATATCATGACTACATTGGTCTCTTTATGCCTAGTATTTGTATATATATTTTTTGGGGTGGGGATCTCAACCGTTTCAAAGTTATGACAGTGGGACTATGTCTCATAGGGTGGGGCTAGACTCTAGGGCCATCCTGGAAAAAGATGTGCATTCTTATGGTTCCTGTCAAATATGGTTGATATCCACCTCTTAGTTCCAGAGGAGCAGTCGCTTAAAGCAATATAGCCAAATTGACCCCTTTTGGCCCCGCCCCTCAGCCCCCTGGGGGGTCACGCCAACCATTTGTACAATTTTGAATCCCAACCACCTAAGGATGCTTCCAGTCAAATTTAGTTGAATTCCAATCAGTGGTTGAGAAGAAGAAGTTGTTTAAAGAAATTATCGACATACGGACGACGGACTGACGACGGACGCAACGGTATGGCAAAAGCTCATCTTGGTCCTTCGGACCAGGTGAGCTCACAACTGCATGGTTACCCATTGTCAGTATAATGTGACGGGGCGAAATGCTGTGCTTGGTGCCTTCAGCATGCCATTTCAGCGAGATCCTTGCTATCAAAAGGAGACAAGAACACAACATACCCGGTCTCCTGCATACACACACGCAAGCATGTATACACACAAGCATACACTATACACACACAGGCATACACTACACACACGCAAGCACGCATACACACATGCAAGCATGCATACACTACACACATGGAGGCACGTCCTTAAATGACCTTAAAAGTTAATAGAAACTTAAACAAAATTAAACCAAAACAAATCCAAGCGTGTCACTGGTTCACATCACTGCATTGGGCCTCTTGGTTATGTGAAGGCAGTTGTTCAAATCACTGCGTTGGGCCTCTTGGTTATGTAAAGGCAGTACTTGTTCACATTACTGCAATGGGCCTCTTGGTTATGTAAAGGCAGTACTTGTTCACATCACTGCGTTGGGCCTCTTGGTTATGTGAAGGCAGTTGTTCACACCACTGAGTTGGGCCTCTTGGTTATGTGAAGGCAGTTGTTCAAATCACTGCGTTGGGCCTCTTGGTTATGTTATGGCAGTACTTGTTCACATCACTGAGTTGGGCCTCTTGGTTATGTGATGGCAGTTGTTCAAATCACTGCGTTGGGACTCTTGGTTATGTGAAGGCAGTTGTTCACACCACTGAGTTGGGCCTCTTGGTTATGTAAAGGCAGTCCTTGTTTACATCGCTGAGGTTGGCCTGTTGGTTATGTGAAGGCAGTACTTGTTCAAATCTCTGCGTTGGGCCTCTTGGTTATGTGAAGGCAATTGTTCAAATCACTGAGTTGGGCCTCTGGGTTATGTGAAGGCAGTTGTTCAAATCACTGAGTTGAGACTCTTGGTTATGTAAAGGCAGTTGTTCAAAACACTGAGTTGGGCCTCTTGGTTATGTGAAGGCAGTACTTGTTCAAATCACTGCGTTGGGCCTCTTGGTTATGTAAAGGCAGTTGTTCAAATCACTGAGTTGGGCCTCTTGGTTATGTTAAGGCAGTACTTGTTCACATCACTGAGTTGGGCCTCTTGGTTATGTGAAGGCAGTTGTTCAAATCACTGAGTTGGGCCTCTTGGTTATGTGAAGGCAATTGTTCAAATCACTGAGTTGGGACTCTTGGTAATGTAAAGGCAGCTGTTCAAATCACTGCGTTGGGCCTCTTGGTTATGTAAAGGCAGTTGATCAAAGAAAACAGTTGAAGCTAGACAAGCAGAGCCTGATAAATAGACGATGGATGCTGCACAATGGCAGGAAGCTCATTTGCCCTTTGGCGACTATATATATAAACAATAAAACAATACTTGTTTGACTATATATAAACAATAAAACAATACTTGTTTGATAGCTTGGCATATTTTATTTCTTCTTACAAAACTGCAAGTCATTTGTGAGTGGAGTATACAAAATGTGAACAAACATTGTGTGTATACGATCTACAAATGTTTATCAGAAGTAATTTTTATGTGATTGCAACTTATTGAAGCTGAATGTTTTTAAAAAAAAAACAATTTTCATTAAAGCAAGTTTTTTGCAAGGTTTTTTGTTTTTGCTTGATTATCTCCAGTCTGAAACTCAGCCATGTTTGCCTTAAAATTTACATATAGCATTCAATTTATGCAAGCAGAGTTGCTATACTTTCACAATTAGCACATATGGTACTGTACCGCATTTATATCAAAATAGAATAAAAAAATTGTAGAATTGATAAATCATGGAATACATTTATTCAAGTAATCAAAGAAATGCATTCATTATCAATTATCAGGTGTATCATTTCTAATAAAAAAAGTGTGTTTATGCTAGACTATCGTGTACAATGTTTAACACTGATAAGCAAAATTACAGTGAATTACAATATACAAAGTTTCCCATGGTAAACAAGGAAATGTTTCTCTTTTATTAAACAGTATTGAAATAAAGTTCCGATATAAACTCTACCAGAAGAAATTACATTCATTGGGTCATGAACGTAGTTGGAATCAGTGTCAATTTGATGCTTATATCTCCTCCCATCTTGCATAATGTGACATCATCGGTAAACAACAGTTGATGAAAGGCTGTTCCGTGAATATTGTTTGCAGTGGTGATACTGACATTTCCATACTGCAAATATTAGGGAACGGTTTTATTTAGATCACAATAATAAATATAATTTTTGATTGGAAATATTACAGCAGGCTTCCTGGAATGTGTATGCATCCAACTTCTGTTCATGCCAAAACATCAAACATGAAGAAAATACCACTTTATCTCTATGTGCTAAGCAGTAAATATTCAATGATCACCAGTAAGAAATATATCACAAGGATTGTTCTAATCAACTTCTTTAAGGTTGTATATATATAATGTATTTATATGGCACATTTAGGTCAAATTTAACTCAGAAATAATCTTCGTATTTATCAAAACTGAAAAAAAAAGACATGACCTGCAATTCAAAAGGGTCACTTTTAGATAATACAGTATCCATGAAAATATATTTCTTCACATATTTTTGAAAAATAAAAAATAAAAAATAAAATAAAAAAATTGACTTAGTATCTTTACAATGTTAGTTAATTATCCAAGCTCGAGATAACCTGGATCCAGACAAGTAGAGAAATCACATATTCATGTTTGATTTCAATCATGATATAAAAATAGATATTTATCTTGAGCAGCATATTTTAATTACAAATGTTTGCAACGTCTCAACGATTCCGTTTCATTTAATACGATACAACAGATAAATAAATACCCTAAGCGAGTATATGAAGAATTATGGGTACATAGAAATAAGAAAAAGTATTCATTTGAAAAATAAATCTGTTTCTACCTACATAACATTTGTCCTAGGGACTATATCAACCAACTTCTTCCTAATTATCAATAACACTGATTTCCTGGAGAAGTGTAGACTAAGGTACCTGATATGCTTCCTGGTTAATTATCTGTGCGAGTATTTTTTTATTATATTTGTTTCTGATTTATTCATATTTCTAGAACTATTATTATTTGGTGGGTTGGTAGTGGGTTGAGCACTTGTCTTTCACCAAGGCAGCCTGGGTTTGATTCCCCAACCGGACATGAAAAGGTATGGGGTTACCTGCCCGACGACCAGATATTTCTCTGGCGCGCTAACATACGGGCCAACAAGAGTGATTATATAAGTTGACATAACCGGTTTCACAATTGATGCAAAATAAATCAAGTTTACTTTTCACTTTATAGTCCTCGAGTATTCAATATGACAATAAGTTTCTTAATTTTTTAACATGTTATACACTGGAATGTGATGTGAGCTAATATTTAAAGATAAGTTGGACAAATATGAACACTGTAACATTTATAACAAAAGAGACTTCACTAAAAAATGATAATGTGATGTAAACAATAATTAATGTATCAAACATGAGTTATCCCAACAAATAGATTAATATTGTAATATGAAAGCTGTAGAAAATTGGCCTTCACACATCTTTCATGACAAGCTATCATTAAGCACATTATGTTAAATCGTTCACCCGAGTTATCCTCTTACATTCCTTTCCATTTCTGTATGTATTAATTACATAACAAAAATTTGTTTCAAAAAACTTTTCAATCTATCTTGTGATTATTATTGTGTGTGTGTGTGTGTTTTGTTTTATAAGGTAACATTAATTTCTATCTGTAAAACAAAATTACAAATAGCTTGAAACTATCACATAAATGTGGAAAATTAACTCAATTGGGGTCAGAAAACCCCTCTAGATCCGTCGCCGATTTAATATTCTTTTTCTTAAACTTTATATAATAGTGAACATTATTCCTTTCAAACGTCATTCTCTTTTTCATATAGCACTTTCTTACTGGAGAAATATTTCATATAGACAACAAAGTAACAATGGGACATGGGAATACAAAGAGACAATATCTGTTTTGGCCGATAATACACACAGACACAAAACATTCCAGTAGCAGTACATCATGGCTACAGTACTATGTTGAGAGATACATGTTATATCAGAGGGTTAAATATCAAATTAAAAAAAATATTTAATGCTCTCATAAGCTATATTTGTGATATTTATGCTTAATTCCATTATACAAAAAAGTAAAACCCGATTTTTACTTGTTATTAGACACCTGAACACTCACTAGTATGACACTTAAATAATAATAATTGCAGTCAAAGTTACTTCCCCTGGTGTTGGTGCTACTTTTGGTAGTATTTGAATAAGACTTTTATTTTTTTACTCATTTTGTTGCTTATTTTTTACCTAATATAAAATTAATGACAAAAAAGGATTATTGCATAAAAAATACATAATTTGGATACAGTCAGGCAAATAAAGACAAAGATTGAAGAAAGCAGTTAGAAAAATTTACCCGTTGCGTATGTGAAATCATTGAAAAAATAAATCTTCTAAAAGGAACGTTTTTCTAAGGCATTCTAAGGAGCGTATAAGTCTTACCAATTGATATAATGTTTTTGAAAATGACAACGATATATCACTTTTATTGGCCAAACTTTTATAACAATACAAAAGTTATATCATACCATTCCACACCCAACATCAATGTTTTTGAACTGTAAACAGGTTTTTTAATGTCATGAGGTTAGGTCTGATGTTGCATAAATCTGATGAACATGGCATCGGCTTGATTTGCCAAAAAACACCTTTAAAGAGATATACAATTTTTCCATCAAAATGTCATTTTACTGATATGATGTCTTTGCCCGACATGTCAAACAATTAAGTTAGTATATAGCTATTGTTGTACTTTCCAAAGACCATATAATCTATGTAAACACTATTTAATATATTTAATTTCTGGTCTGGGGATATAGTTAGACCATATTATCTATGTAAACACTATTTAATATCCGGTCTGGGGATAAAGCTAGACCATATTATCTATGTAAACACTATTTGATATCTGGTCTGGGGATATAAGTACAAAGGAACTGTTCAAAACATCAGGAAAATAGCATAACCCAAACTTTCCCCGACTCCTTGAGAAGCCTGTTTTCTAATTTGTGACGTAGGTCTCGATACAGAATTCCGGCTCCTGCTGAGGGACATCATTGGCTGGCTGTGGCTGCTTTTGAGGCTGTGCCTGTTGGGTCTGTATGCTGGCCGGCTTTCGCTGAGGAACCTTGCTTTGTTGTTGCTGGATATTCTGAATGACAGGCATCTGGTGCATCGCCTGAAGCTGAGGAGCATATGTAGGCTGCATATGCTGGTTGTCGTAGATGAGACCATCGTAAGCAGGGTTGGTATTTGGTCCACTGGTACTTTCTACCCAGCTCTGATACTGATTTTCACTCGTTTTACTATTCTGTTTAAATCCCGACCTGGTCACCTGACTACTGCCGTTGCTGCCATTGCCATTCAAATGTTCAGGTAAATATCTGTGCTCCTGTTTAAAAGAGAAGTATTTTAAATTCAACTATCTTCATTTTAAAGTCACAAGAGTCAATCGATATAGCCGAGACTAGGAAACGTTAATTTATCATGTTTGATCCTGTGTAAACATAATGGTATAGCAGAGACTAGGAAATGTTAACTGATGATGTTTGATCCTGTGTTAACATAATGGTAAAGCAGAGACTAGGAAATGTTAACTTAAGATGTTTGATCCTGTGTTAACATAATGGTATATAGCAGAGACAAGGAAATGTTAACTTATGATGTTTGATCCTGTGTAAACATAATGGTATAGCAGAGACTAGGAAATGTTAACTTATGATGTTTGATCCTGTGTAAACATAATGGTATAGCAGAGACTAGGAAATGTTAACTTATGATGTTTGATTCTGTGTTAACATAATGGTATATAGCAGAGACTAGGAAATGTTAATTTATGATGTTTGATCCTGTGTTAACATAACGGTATAGCAGAGACTAGGAAATGTTAACTTATGATGTTTAATCCTGTGTTAACATAATGGTATAGCAGAGACTAGGAAATGTTAACTTATGATGTTTGATCCTGTGTTAACATAACGGTATAGCAGAGACTAGGAAATGTTAACTTATGATGTTTGATCCTGTGTAAACATAATGATATAGCAGAGATAAGGAAATGTTAATTTATGATGTTAGAGACTAGGAAATGTTAACTTATGATGTTTGATCCTGCGTAAACATAATGGTTTAGCAGAGACTAGGAAATGTTAACGTATGATGTTTGATCCTATGTAAACATAATGGTATAGCAGAGACTAGGAAATGTTAACTTTGACATCTGTGCTCCTGTTTAAAAGAGAAGTATTTTAAATTCAACTATCTTCATTTTAAAGTCACAAGAGTCAATCGATATAGCCGAGACTAGGAAACGTTAATTTATCATGTTTGATCCTTCCTAAACATAATGGTATAGCAGAGACTAGAAAATGTTACCTTATGATGTTTGATCCTGTGTAAACATAATGGTATAGTAGAGACTAGGAAATGTTAACTTATGATGTTTGATCCTGTGTAAACATAATGGTATAGCAGAGACTAGGAAATGTTAACTTTGACATCTGTGCTCCTGTTTAAAAGAGAAGTATTTTAAATTCAACTATCTTCATTTTAAAGTCACAAGAGTCAATCGATATAGCCGAGACTAGGAAACGTTAATTTATCATGTTTGATCCTTCCTAAACATAATGGTATAGCAGAGACTAGAAAATGTTAACTTTGACATTAACTACAGTAGAAAATTGTTATACTGTCGCCAACACTTGTCAAGAAGAATTTTGGCGCTATAAATTGGTTTTGTAATAAATTTGAAAGATATAAATTACATATAAAGAATTTTTTATGAAAAAGTGAAAAAGTGACATTGAAATCTTTTGGCAGTAAATGAGATGGCAAATGGAACATGAGGGACATTCTATTCACGCCGCTGTCTAGAGTAATGTTATCTAAAAACTTCAGTTATTACATGAGTTGACAATTAATCCTGTAGACATCCTGCCAATTTAGCTCTGACCAGATATGTTGACATGAGAAAGTCTGTATACTATGGTCATTAAAGAGCCGTGATTGCATATATAAACAATGTCGTCTACAATTAAAATACTGAAGTAATTTTTCAGGAACAATTTATGAATAACTTATATAATTACCAATGGCATACAATTAAAAGTTGTTGTGAAACATTAACTGAATAAATACAACAACCTGGTTTGTTAGCACCGTCATAAATTAGATTAACAGCTTATTAAAGCAGAGTCATGATTAGGCATACTCTGCAAGAACAGCACAGGGGTACATTTATAATCAGGTGTCAAGATGATCAATCTCATGGACTTGTTGTATTAGCATATTATCTGGCAATTTGTCCCTGCCTGGTAATAAGCCCACCCATATTTGATGCAATTCAGTACAAATACCAATAAATGTTATTTATTATCTGTTATTATATGCATGAAAATTTCTCGCAATCACATTGGTCGGATCATGTACACGTGACCAGTTCTCAAAAACTCATGTAGACTGGTTACCCGGTGAATATCGATTTCTAAATATAGCCTATATGGAAATACCCCGGAACCTGTCGTAGCGCATGCACAGTTAGACCGGAACGCGATCTGTCAGACGACATTAGAAGATGGCTGCTGGCGAACGTTTCTCCTCCGTTACATCTGAAAATTACCAAAACTATTCGAGGATAAAGATGCTGTTAACATAAAAAGGCCATTGAACACGCAGTGCATGTCCTCCATGCTTATCTTAAGAAAAAGAACCTAGACGACGTCTTCGAAAGCTACCATGCTAAACTGTTGAATTCAAACCTGGCTAAATTTTACACGGAGGCTAGCGTACAAAAATCAGAACCTTGAGTGTCATTTTGTTTTATTTTATTGTTGAAGCATATAATAAAACAGCAAATGATGCAACAATCAATAACTGCATGCTCACAAAAGCAGATAACTCTGCAATACAAAAAGACGGAATTGCAGGATAAATATGGTAATAAACATACGGTATGTAATTGCAGGATACCGTAAATACAGTTATAAAATACTGTATGTAGTTTAGGATACCGTAAATACAGTTATAAACATACTGTATGTAGTTGCAGGATACCATAAATACAGTAATAGTAATAAACATAAAGTATGTAATTGCAGGATACCGTAAATACAGTTATAAACATACTGTATGTCCTTTAGGATACAGTAAATACAGTTATAAACATACTGTATGTAGTTGCAGGATACCATAAATACAGTTATAAACATACTGTATTTAATTACAGGATACCGTAAATACCGTAGGAATTAGGATAAGCATGCAGCGTTGCCATTTTTTAAATGTTAATTATTAGTTATAAGTGTGAAAACGTGTGAATTTTAAAAAAAAAATGCATTTTATATACTGCAACAATATTCAAAATATAAATTTGAATTAATAATTGATCAAATGCTACTTACTATCAAGTGTAGGTTTTAATTGAATTTAAATTAATATTTTGTCAAATAGCAGTCTATACTAAAATTAAGTAAATTTTAGATATTGTCCGAATTATTAAAGTAATGATATTGTCCGAATTAGCCAAGTAATGATATTGTCTGAAATAATAAAGTAATGATATTGTCTGAATTAATAAAGTAATGATATTGTCCAAATTAATCGAGTAACATGATATTGTCCGAATTAATCAAGTAATGATATTGTCTGAATTAATCAAGTAATGATATTGTCCGAATAAGCAAAGTAATGATATTGTCCGAATTAGCCAAGTAATGATATTGTTTGAATTAGCCAAGTAAATGATATTGTCTGAATTAAGCAAGTAATGATTTTGTCCGAATTAATCAAGTAATGATATTGTCCAAATTAATAAAGTAATGATATTGTCAGACACATCAAACTCTAGCACACTTTTGAACAAAAAATATTTATGTAAAAAAAAACAACAACATTTAGTTAGTAAATAAGTCTCTTTATAATCTCTAAAATTTTAGTTCATACTGAATTTTTTAAAATTAAGATTTATTTATTTCAAACATACAAAATACAAAGTGTATAATTATAATATACATATATGAAACCTCTTTTAAACAAAATGACCATTTTACTCCATTGAATGGTTAACCATCAGTTTAGTTAGATTTGAATGTTGATAAAAACAAACAATTTCTCCATTTCTCCTAAGTAGCCATCAGCTAGAAGTTACTGCTTCATATACTGTCGAGTGGTAATTTTCAACAGAGATTTAATTTCGCTATATTCGTAGTCAACAGAAATAGTGTGAATTAAATTCCCAATGAAGAGATAAAACACCAATTCAGTATCGTCTATTTTACATTGTTTTGATAATCACCTGTAACATTAATCTCATCACGTAAAGTAAGATTTTCAGTGCTATCATTTTACTTAACAACACAGAGCAATATTTAATCCCTGTGAACAAGTTCTGATCAGGACAACAACAAAATATTAAACCCTCAAAATTTAACAACAGTACAGTTTTATGAATATAAAATGTGTTTCATAAACATAATGAAGAAAAAAAGGTAAAATCAAGGTCAATAACTCCAATAACTAGTGAAATCCTAGAACTAACAGCAGAAACGAACAAAAGAAAATCAAAGTACAATGTGTAAAATCAAAGTACTGAAAGTACAGAAGGGTTGGATAGTAATTAGAAAGTTAATATTACACTCTGTAATTTGCTGTCTAAGAAAGGGGAAGGGCGGGGAGGGGGGGNATTGTTAACAATGACCCTGTCACTATATATACTCCAGCATAAGCAGTGATAAGCAGCCCCAGGGAGTATAACAGGGAGGGGGGAATGTGGTGTAAGACCTCAGCTAGCCTTATCACCAAGCTAGCAGACGGTAAGTCAGAAAATATCTTCTTCACACAAATTGTTTGTGAAAGATACTTAATTATAAAGTATTCGATCGCCTAATAAAGTTAAAGAAAATTCTCACACCCATGTTTTATGTTTTGTCCAGTTTGCTAGGGAACAAAGCCAAATCCATTGTAGAAACTGTTTAGCATAGTAGTTTATGTAACAGTAAATATATATGGATGATTTCAACACAGGCCAAATAATTTTAAAAATCAGAGGAGGAAAATTTAGGTTGAAAGTTGTAAATGTACTATCTAAAATAGCAAAATAAGTTTAAACATATATATTAAAAGATATCAAAACTGTGCATATAGACTAAAATTAAATGTTAATGAAGCATAATAGGGTGTTCATGGATATGTATTTCATTCAAATAAATGAACAACATATCACAGCAAAGAATTTTTAATAAACCATTAAACAAATAAAGCATCTAGTATTATGTTAAAGTGTTGGTGAAAAGGAATACACTGTAATGAACATAGATATAGAAAGGTATTTAATCAGCATAACTTAATAAGATAATTGCATTACATCAGATTACACAGAAGTGAACAGTGTTAAGACCAGTTGTTCAGAGCCGACAACTCCAATAATTTTATCAAAAAAGTTATGTAATATCTAGACAAGCTTTCAATTCTATATAGTGATTTTATTATTTATAGACTTGAGCAAGTCTAATGTGTTTGAGAGTCAAGAACATGAATAGACTTGCTCAAGTCAATAAACAGATAATAAGTGATTATGATAGAGATTGATATACAGTCTTGGTAATCTATAAAGTGATGGAGCCGGATAATTGTCAGATGCATAATGCCTCATAATGGTTATCAACGACATTTTGTCAAGAATGTGTCAAATGTAAAATTGCTTTAGAACACAAGATACAGATTTGTCAAAAAAATATTATTAATGTTATTGGCAATGTTTAGGATAAATTTATATGATGTTAGAATTATGATATAGAATATATGAATGTCGTGCATGGTACTTATTTTTTTTCGAAAGATGCATTTGTTACTTGAGCTCGAGTAAATCAGATGTATATATAGTTCATTATGATTGTTTACACATAACTTCTTGATGAAATACAATAAACTTTTGAAGCATCTGCATACCTGTACTGATAAGCAACTAGACACCTTCCTATCAGTTAAATGGAGGTAAGTTTGTGTATAATGACAAATTTCTAGAAATCACCTTGCTCTTTTGACTATGAACAACTGGTGTCAACAGGAAACAAACCAGGGGCCATGCATTACCATGTTAGAGGAACAAAGCGGAAGCCAGCATCTACACTATCATAAGTGTGAAATTGTCGTGCTCCCAGCCATGCCGTTCACTACCTCCTTGGCTTGATGCTTCTTGTTGTGGCTGCGGACAAAGTTGCATATGCCCAGAAGGAGGACGAGAAGTACAGCAGCCCCAACAAATGCCAGGATGATGATGAGAGGAAGCGGCAGATCTTCCACAGTGTCCACATCAACAGGTTTCATGGTTGTTGCGACAACTGAAGCAGACATGTAATGTTATTGATATAAATTATAATGATAAGATGACCTTTGGGATGTCCAGAGCGGTGGTCTCTCAACACAGGTTCAGTAACCATGAAAATTACAGTGTATAGCAAGTTTTAAAAGTGGTCTCTTAACACAGACTTAACAGAGGTGCAGACTTCTCCAGCAGGTTAGCTGTAGTTCATGATAATACACTCTGGTAAAACACAGTAACACACTAGTCAAAACTATTCAAACTTGTCATTTTGCAGTTTTCTATACATTTTTTATTTAGCGTTGATAGAACATATAACATATATGCATAAACCTAATTGAAAATAATAGGATTTTTGATGTCATTTGTTGCACAATCCAAATTGTTTCTATTATCTGGTATGCCAAGATTGTTTTACCGCAATCACAATGAAAATCATTTTTAATTATTGAACCTATTAATGGACATGACACAAATTATATTTCATCCTGAAATGACTGAAGTCAACTAATAGGGGGATACTATGCACTCTTACCTTCTTGAGCCTCACTTATTGTTAAAGAAGAGGTATCAACAGAAAAGCCCCCCAAATTGCCGGAGCCCAAGGCATTCTGTAAAGTTGTGTTGACATCAGTTCTGACCCTCACGGCAGATCCAACAACCTCCACTGTAGAATCCACAATCACGCTCCCTCGTCTGTAACAAGTCAGAAAGTGTAATCCTACGTAATTAGGTTTGTGCGGGACCCGGATAATTATCATTGGTCTGGTATGTACAAGATCATTGGTCTGGTATGTACATGATCATTGGTCTGGTATGTACAAGATCATTGGTCTGGTATGAACAAGATCATTGGTCTGGTATGTACAAGATAATTGGTCTGGTATGTACATGATCATTGGTCTGGTATGTACAAGATCATTGGTCTGCTATGTACAAGATAATTGGTCTGCTATGTACAAGATCATTGGTCTGCTATGTACATGATCATTGGTCTGGTATGTACAAGATCATTGGTCTGGTATGTACAAGATCATTGGTCTGCCATGTACAAGATCATTGGTCTGGTATGTACAAGATCATTGGTCTGCTTTGTGCAAGATCATTGGTCTAGCTGGTATGAACAAGAAACATGTAAATGTATCTTCTTTGTCTGCTGTCTGTAAATGAGATTGCTACCCCTTAAATGTGATCACTGACATCATTGTGGGGGTCGGACTGATGTTATGGTGTGCATATCTTCTAAACCTTATGTAATAGTGACAATGGAAGGTGAGTTTACATGTGTATGTTTAGAACAAGACGGCCCATTAGCCCTTAAACACAACCTGATTGAAATCATGAATATTACACAAAATTTTATGAAAATCTTATTTCAAATGAGTAAAGCATCAATGGGCCAAATATTTCCCTCTATTTTGGGCTTAGTGAACAAAGGATCTCACAAAAGTTTGGTCACTAATTCTGATAAATTTTTGAGAATAGACATTCTGATTCTGATCCTTATACTTTCAAAGAGAAACATCATCATTTGAAAATTTTGCACTTTAAAATATGTGACCACTTATACGTTCCTGCCCAAAAGACACCTAGCTGGGAATGAGACGTTCTTGTGTATAGATTGTGATCCTCATCATTTAAAGATCATCTTTAACCCTTTCACCACTGTAGACCGTAATGGACTCATCCAGATCAATGGTTGGTAGAGTCTGACTAAAGTTACATAGGGGTGAAATGGTTAAAGAAACACCAGCAACATTTAATCATGTGGAATCAATTAAATTTAATAGGTAGAGTATGTTTGGAAACAGAACTTATAATGTACTTCATGATACACCAGTTAGTTAGGAAACAAAAAAAACATATATATCATATGTTAACCAGAGATGGTGTCAAAGCCACCAAATGCTGGCCTGTTTAAAATTTTATCGTATATAAAATTTGTTTGTAAAAATGTAAAGTTCAAAAGTCTAAAAAAAAAAAAATGAAATTAATTTCTAATTTTAACTTCACTTCATCAATATTTTACCCCACAGGAACCTCTGTGCAAAATATCAGCATCCTAGTACACATAATGAATGACAAGCTTCTAAATAACTTGCAGGAAAACCTTTAGGATTTTCACGCTGACTCTCATGCCGGGGGTATCGCTATAGCTCTCTGTTCTTCAAACAGGCAAGTTAAAAACTGGTCAATGAGAAAGCAGTTGATACATATTATGTGAATCAAATGAGTTTTGTAGGAAAAAGCTTAAAATTTTGATAAATATTTGTTACTTACTTAAACCCTTTTACATAGACAACCACGAAGCCGGAAATTTGTGATAAAGAGGTTACCAACTGAAACAGAAAACAGAGCACATATGAGACCAACCAACTGATCCATTCATTGAAGGTTAAGAGTACAAAGAAATTAGGATCGTTTATTACCACTGGCACAGTAATAAAACATTTAAATCATTTCCTACCTATGTATTCCATAGAAACAAATCTTGTGATGCATTTTACACTGACTTTCCCATAGACCTCAACTTTAGGTAAGAAACTTTCCCATAGACCTCAGCTTTAGGTAAGAAACTTTCCCATAGACCTCAGCTTCAGGTAATAATAGCCCATGTACTTGTTTCTGATTAATAATAATTTTGTTGGACATGACGATAATTAAGATTTTGTATGACATAGAAAATACACTAATATTCAACTTAAATATTATATTCCACCTAAAAATTGATAAAATCATAACACAAAATGTAATATGTAAATAACCTGATGATTATAAATGTCAGTCTTAATTGGATGACTACATTACTCAATTACTTGGAAATTGACTCATCTGAGTCACCGAGATTTTTACCACTACATATGAGCTGACTTACACTTGCTTCTACCCGAGACTTCAGTGATCTGAATGCATTAGAGGTTTCGTCCGAAAATTCTTCCTGCCAAAGGATGTTCAGAAGTCTGATCTGCACGGTAACTGTATGTTTGGGCCCAGTCACAGTTGTGGGTGCAGGTGTCGTAGATTGGGCTGTATGATAATGTACAGAAGTTACTCTTAAGACTTGACTTCGATACCAATTGTTACTAGAGGATTTTATAATACGTTAACATATCGTAATTTGTTACTGCACAGCAAATGGGATCGATTCTCAGTTTTATGTAAGCAAGGCATCTTTCTTTTTACTTAAATCTCTCATAGCACATATTGTATCATCAATGTGCGCATAAAAAAAAATCTTTTAAAAAAATATTGAAGTGCCATATGACTTATCAGTAATTGATTTTTGAAGTTTTCTGTGTTTAACAATACTGACTACATGGATTTTTTTTCTTTTCGAGACAGTCTTATTTTGAAGGGGCAACTTTCATCAAGGTTTTAGCATGCAAGTGTGTATGATACTTACCACCGCCACCACACTGGACACAGAACTGCTGTCTAATTGGTGTGCTGTCATGGTAACCAATATTCTTAGTGACTGGGTCAAATGTTCCTCCCAGACCAAAGAAGAAGTTTAGGCAGGAATCTGGGGTTAGTTGTATGTCTGTTGCTGTGTCAGGGGTGGTAAGTGGCCTGGTAAAGTTGAGGACGGTGATACCGTTTGCCCGAGATCCTGAGACATCAGTTAAGGAGGAGTTTGTATCCTCTACTGGCATGAATCTACCTGCGGCCCACCTGTACAAAGTAAAAAAAAACTTTTAAATAATTTAGCAAGAAAATTAAATGTGAGCTAGAACTGTCACCAGAATGGAAGACAAATACCAACCACTTGCACGTTAGCACGTTAGAAAACATTTTTTAAACAAAGGGGTATAACTCAATAAATTGAAGAGGTTACTAAATTCAAATTTTATCCACATTCGCCTGATGAAAGGTTTCTGTGTACTACATATAATTTAAATTGGTGCAGTACTTTTGGAGTAGTAGTGCATTTTAACAATGCTGTGTCTACAGACAGACAGACAACTCAATGCCAGTATACCTCCACCCAGCTACCTCTGCTGAGGAGGGGGATCAGTAGTCAACATTTATCATCTCAATAACATGTTAACACGATTCCAGCATACGTTAATTAATACACCACCACTCTGGTTCAGCATCATTTTGCTGAATAAGTTTCACCAATACATAGTCAACAGTCTAACATGTTCAACAGAAAGAAACAGAAACACCTAAAACCTAATTAACAGTCACCCGATAGATAGCTATTACATGTAGGAAACAGTTAGGTGATATAAATGTCAAAGCCTAATTACCGCATAACTTAAATATATGATTTTGTTACTCACTCAAAAAAAGTGTATAATTATGTTTTCAAACAAAGTTACTGGCTATGTATTGTAAAGGGGAAAGATTATGTAATGTACCGTCTACGAAACATTTATTGGTCGTAGTTTCTGCACAATTGATATACAAGTATTTGCACTAAATTGATTTTTACAATAAGATTTGATATATTTTACGACCAATTCTTTTGCTATTGATGTATTTCTAAATCCTTAACATATTTTACTATAGTAAGTAAGTTTCAGTTTGATGTGTTTATTTTGGTGAATGTCTCTTTTTACAGTCTCGTTTGGCCCTGAATGATTCGATAGGCCGTTAAACAAACAATTTTTGTGATGTAACTAACGAATCAATGGCCTAGTAATGAATCACCTGTCGGTCATTACTGCTACCCCGTCTACAACCCAGCCGGCCAGGACATCAGTATCAGGCTGAAAAAAACAACAATCTTACAATCACGGCTGGAAAAGTTTTTATAATGATTCAATTAGAATTTTTAACTTTCACTGTTGTCATTGAGAAGTAATTTCAATGAAGCTTGCAGTGAAAGGCACTTTGATATCATCAGAAAACACAATATGCCATATATAGCATAAGGTAGGACATGTCCCTAATTAATAAAGTAGAAATAAAATTCCATAATTCTATAACTTTTAGTCTTTCAAGTCATCAACAAAACTTAATTGACTTTTCTCAGAAGATTCTCTTTTTGGAGATACTGTAGTGCGTGACTTCATCAAAATTCAAGAGAATCTCATTTACATATTTTTTTTATAATTGCTTGGTTTATGATTATGTGGTAACATTTTAAAGCTGTATATTTTTTTATCACATAATTGGCCTGTTATCCAGTGAATTCGCCCGTGTAATATTTTTACATCTGTCACTAGTGTAATATACCCTGGAGCGTTTTTCATTGCCTGTGCCAGTCAGAAATCGATTGTGACGTCATAATATGGATAATGACGTGATGTCATAAATTGTGAATGGCGCAACAAAATGTCTGTCTCCGTTTGAATAAGCCCTCTACATTTTGGCTTTAAAACCTGTCAAAATGTAAGTTTTCTGAGTTATGTGATAAAAAGTATCTAATGAGACCACTCAAAGTTTTTATTATTGCTCGCCTGAAGGCTCGCAATAATATAAACTCCTAAGACTCGTTTCATAAAATCTCATATGAAATGAAAACTCATTTAAGATACTATATACATTGTATACAGTACTTACCATTTCATTGTTAGCAGACAAACCCAGAGCAATATACTGATTATCCGCAACTTGAGCTGTCATGCTAAATCTTATAGCAGACTCGGCCGGCACGTACATCCAGGTCACCATGTGATCTCCGTTTGACCACATGCAGCTATCTGATTGGCCGGGGTCTGTTGTAGGTTTTTCTGTTAGTAGATATGGTTTAGATATCAGTCTACAATGATGCTGTTACTCATACGAAACAGCAGCTATCCCCTTAACATATTTCAAAGTTTGTTTATTTGTTTGTTGCAAAATTCAACACAATTGTCTTGCTTCTCAGACAGTTGAGCAATGTTTTCCACACAGGAAAATTTAAGTTAAGGATAAAACCTATCATGTTTGGCGAGACTGAACACAATATCAAAAGACATTATAGGGTCGATGGATAGCAATATATGGGTGTTGCATCATTTTTACATTTCTTCAACTGACACTCAATGATCCAATAGAGTAAGAACAGCTACACAGATGATGTCTATGGTCGCAGGGACGTATAACTACATGAACTGAATTTTATGACCATGCGGTTGGATAACCAGATTATTTCCTAAATCTGCAGGGTGATCTATTATGTATTTCAGTAAGTTACAATATTTTTGTGAGATATTAATATTTGTATTAAATCATTAGGCTTCATTTGTAAATAGAAATCTTCCGTGATTATTAATTTTATTCATGATTACTGTCAGTGTTGAAATATAACATCCTCACAATTGCAATTTGAAGTATTCAGGAATAAAAATCACAGTTATACACTATGTAGTTTACAAAATACAGTTGATCATACAAAATTTAAGTTTGTTAGTACTGGCAGAGGCAGAGTGTTATATTTCACGTTTTAGTTACTATCTTTAACACTTTGTGAGAGGTCCATTTCAGACATGTTCTATTAACTCATTCACCCTGAAATTTCATAACGAACTATTTCAACATGTGAAATGGAAGAGTTCAAATGTGTCTTCAGGGTTGAATGAGTTAGCTTCATCCTTTTAAAGTCACACAGATTCTTAAAGATAACAAACATTGTGTGAATAAATATCTATATAAAATAGATCTATTTTCCTTGTTTTTGAAAGCAACGCATTTCACTTGATCAATAAACATAATATGTCTTAATATATATTTAACAAGTGGACACTGTGTTTAGTTACTCACTCAAAAAGTTGACTCTATTTGTTCCTCGTTTGATGTTACCATGGTATTTCAATTCATCCACTTTGTAGAATAGTTTATTGGAAGCTGTGGCTACGGCCTCCAGACCAGAATTAGGGAGGTGATTATAACCAGAATGTTCCTGCCCATGTGCCCAGATCACGTGCATGAAGTCATTGGTTATTTCATAATCTGTTCTCTCATTGGCTAAAATAGAATATTCCAAAATATTAGGTTTATTGTAAATTTAAAGAACAAAACATACCATAAGTCAGAACACATGCTGTTTTCGACTCAAAAACGATAGAAAAAAACAAAAACAAACACCAAAACAAAGAAATTAAGAACCCCAACACAACAGCACGTTAAGGAGTAAACCTAGGTGTTTCTGACAGGTAAACAATTCCAGTACAACTTGTGCCACCTGTCATAATGAAGCTGTGGGATCTAGGAAATAATATTGGGCACCGATGATGTCATAGCAAAATTGAAGGCACAAATTAAAGATAGCTGTTCGATTGGTCTCATGTAAAAATACCTGACCAATCACTATAAGCTAATACACCTGTCCTTTGAAGATTACAGAGGAGCGATCTGCGACTTCAAAGCCAGTCAGTTTTTACCATTACAGCACAGTGAGATTCTTTTGATGTACATCAAAGGATCGAAAAAGTCTTCCTGCCTCATCAGCAAGCTGGAATACACTGGTCTTTAATTTCTTTGCTATGACAAATTCAAGGGGTTAGGAGAGCGTAAGTGAGGGTAACCCCTGGAGTATCGAGGATGGTATTTTAGCTACAGATACAAACATCCCATTTTCATTGGAAATCGGGTCAAGACAATGATTGTAACAAGTCGTTGTATATTGAACCATCTCTGGTAGAAAGCCTTGACTACATTTAAAATACTTTATAAAAACAATTCATTAAAACATGTTACTTAAAGAATAACAAGAATTATTTTTCATGGACAAATGAAAAATGTGTGCACAAATCTGCAGAGCAGTTAATGCACAAAAATGCACGCTTTTCTGGTAAATACTGTGCAATCTTGGTTATTATTCAATTATGAATTTTTTTAACAGTGAAAATGATGTGATATGAACTGATAATAACCCACCAAATATTAATTTATCAAATATACTGTACATTCACTGGAAAACAACATTTGTATGCCTTTCTACATCTTCAATACTTTGCAAGATTTCACTTACACTTTCTACACTGATCAGTTTTTCTCAATATCATATGATTTTTTTTCTGTTAAAATCACCTGTTAATTTCCTCCTGTACAAGATTCTGGTGACTCCACCCTCCTCAGTACCAACGGCAGCTGTCAGACTTTCGCTACCTCCAAAGTATGTGTCCCTATGTGGAGTGGAGCGATCCCTCGAGTAGTAATCTCCAATACGACTTCGATGTCCCTTCGCAGAGCCAATTACCATGTCAGTACAGTCCATTGCATGTACAGCACCTATAAATAGGACAGGGTAACATCACAAGTCAGTCACATAACTAGTATAGCACCTATAATTAGGGCAGGGTAACATCACAAGTCAGTCACATAACTAGTATAGCACCTATAACTAGGACAGGGTAACATCACAAGTCAGTCACATAACTAGTATAGCACCTTTAAATAGGACAGGGTAACATCGCAAGTCAGTCACATAACTAGTATAGCACCTATAAATAGGACAGGGTAACATATCACACATCAGTCACATAACATAACCAATACAACACCTATATTTAGGGCAGGGTAACATATCACAAATCAGTCACATAACATAATCAGAACAGCACCTATAAATAGGGCAGGTTAACATCACAAGTCAGTCACATAACATAACCAATATAATACCTTTAAATAGGGCAGGGTAACTTATCACAAATCAGTCACATAACATAATCAGAACAGCTAGCACCTATATATATAGGGCAGGTTAACATCACAAGTCAGTCACATAACATAACCAATACAATACCTTTAAATAGGACAGGGTAACATATCACACATCAGTCACATAACATAAGCAATACAACACCTATATTTAGGGCAGGTTAACATATCACAAGTCAGTCACAAAACATAATCAAAACAGCACCTATAAATAAGGCAGGGTAACATCACAAGTCAGTCACATAACACAACCAATACAATCCCTTTAGATAGGGCAGGATAACATATCACAAATCAGCCACATAACATAATCAAAACAGCACCTATAAATAAGGCAGGGTAACATCACAAGTCAGTCACATAACATAACCAATACAATCCCTATAAATAGGGCAGGGTAACATATCACAAATCAGTCACATAACATAACTAGTATAGCACCTATAAATAGGACAGGATAAAAATATCACAAGTCAGTCACATAACATAACTAGTATAGCACCTATCAGCACCTATAAATAAGGCAGGGTAACATCACGAGTCAGTCACATAACATAACTAGTATAGCAGCTATAAATAGGACAGGGTAACATCACAAGACAGTCACATAACTAGTATAGCACCTATAAATAGGGCAGGGTAACATCCCAAGTCAGTCATTTAACATAACCAGTACAACACCTAGTACAACAAGTCAGTCACATAACATAACATAACATAACAAGAATAGCACCTATAAATAAGGCAGGGAAACATCAAAAGTCAGTCAAATAAGACAGGGTAACATCACAAGTCAGTCACATAACATGACTAGTATAGCACCTTTAAATAAGGCAGGACCTATAAATAAGGCAGGGTAACAACACAAATCAGTCACATAATATAACTAGTATAGCACCTATAAATAAGGCAGGGGAACATCACAAGTCAGTCACATAACATAACTAGCATAGCACCTTTAAATAAGGCAGGGTAACATCACAAGTCAGTCCCATAACATTACCAGTACAACACGTCACAAATCAGTCATTTAACATAACCAGTACAACGGATAAATAAGAAAGGGGAACATCACAAGTCAGTCACATAACATAACCAGTACAACCCCTATAAATAAGGCAGGGTAACATCACAGGTCAGTCATTAAACATAACCAGTACAACACCTATAAATAAGGCAGGGCAACATCACAAGTCAGTCACATAACATTACCAGTACAACACCTCACAAATCAGTCACATAACATAACTAGTATATCACCTATAAATAAGGCAGGGTAACAACACAAATCAGTAACATAACATAACTAGTATAGCACCTATAAATAGGACAGGGTAACATCCCAAGTCAGTCACATAACATTACCAGTACAACACGTCACAAATCAGTCATTTAACATAACCAGTACAATAACTATAAATAAGGCAGGGTAACATCACAGGTCAGTCATTTAACATAACTAGTACAACCCCTATAAATAAGGCAGGGTAACATCACAAGTCAGTCCCATAACATTACCAGTACAACACGTCACAAATCAGTCATTTAACATAACCAGTACAATAACTATAAATAAGGCAGGGTAACATCACAGGTCAGTCATTTAACATAACTAGTACAACCCCTATAAATAAGGCAGGGTAACATCACAGGTCAGTCATTAAACATAACCAGTACAACACCTATAAATAAGGCCGGGTAACATCACAGGTCAGTCATTTAACATAACCAGTACAGCACCTATAAATAAGGCAGGGTAACATCACAATTCAGTCACATAACATAACCAGTAAAACACCTATAAATAAGACAGGGTAACATATCACAAATCAGTCACATAACATAACCAGTACAACACCAATAAATAAGGCAGGGTAACATCACAAGTCAGCCACATAACATAACTAGTATAGCACCTATAAATAAGGCAGGGGAACATCACAAGTCAGTCACATAACATAACTAGGATAGCACCTATAAATAAGGCAGGATAACATCACAAGTCAGTCATATAACATAACCAGTACAACACCTATAAATAGGGCAGGGTAACATCACAAGTCAGTCATTTAACATAACCAGTCCAACATATAAATAAGACAGGGTATCATCACAAGTCAGTCACATAACATAACTAGTATAGCACCTATAAATAAGGCAGGATAACATCACAAGTCAGTCATTTAACATAACCAGTACAACATATAAATAAGACAGGGTATCATCACAAGTCAGTCACATAACATAACCAGTAAAACACCTATAAATAAGGCAGGGTAACATATCACAAATCAGTCACACAACATAACTAGTATAGCACCTATAAATAAGGCAGGATAACATCACAAGTCAGTCATATAACATAACCAGTACAACATATAAATAAGACAGGGTATCATCACAAGTCAGTAACATAACATAACCAGTAAAACACCTATAAATAAGGCAGGGTAACATATCACAAATCAGTCACACAACATAACTAGTATAGCACCTATAAATAAGGCAGGATAACATCACAAGTCAGTCATATAACATAACCAGTACAACATATAAATAAGACAGGGCATCATCACAAGTCAGTCACATAACATAACCAGTAAAACACCTATAAATAAGGCAGGGTAACATCACAAGTCAGTCATTTAACATAACCAGTACAACATATAAATAAGACAGGGTATCATCACAAGTCAGTCACATAACATAACTAGTATAGCACCTATAAATAGGGCAGGGTAACATCACAAGTCAGTCATTTAACATAACCAGTACAACACCTAGTACAACAAGTCAGTCACATAACATAACATAACATAACAAGTATAGCACCTATAAATAAGGCAGGGTAAAATATCACAAATCAGTCACATAACATATCTAGTATAGCACCTATAAATAGGACAGGGTAACATCGCAAGTCAGTCACATAACTAGTATAGCACCTTTAAATAAGACAGGGTAACATCACAAGTCAGGCAAATAACATAACCAGTAAAACACCTATAAGTAAGGCAGGGTAACATATCACAAATCAGTCACATACCAAAAATAGTATAGCACCTATTAATAAGGCAGGGTAACAACACAAATCAGTCACATAACATACCTAGTATAGCACCTTTAAATAAGACAGGGTAACATCACAAGTAAGTCACATAACATAACTAGTAAAACACCTATAAATAAGGTCGGGTAACATATCACAAATCAGACACATAACATAACTAGTATAGAACCTATAAATAAGGCAGGATAACATCACAAGTCAGTCATTTAACATCACCAGTACAACGTATAAATAAGACAGGGTAACATCACAAGTCAGTCGCATAACATAACATAACATAACAAGTAGTACAACACCTATAAATAAGGTAGGGGAACATATCACAAATCAGTCACGTCATTTAACATAACCAGTACAACGTATAAATAAGACAGGGTAACATCACAAGTAAGTCACATAACATAACTAGTATATCACCTATAAATAAGGCAGGGTAAAATATCACAAATCAGTCACATAACATACCTAGTATAGCACCTTTAAATAAGGCATGGTAACATAACAAGTCAGTCATTTAACATAACCAGTACCACGTATAAATAAGACAGGGTAACATCACAAGTAAGGCAAATAAGACATGGGAACATCACAAGTCAGTCACATAGCATAACCAGTACAACACCTATAAATAAGGCCGGGTAACATATCACAAATTAGTCACATAACATAACTAGTATATCACCTATAAATAAGGCAGGGTACCATCACAAGTCAGTCACATAACATAACTAGTAAAACACCTATAAATAAGGTCGGGTAACATATCACAAATCAGTCACGTCATTTAACATAACCAGTACCACGTATAAATAAGACAGGGTAACATCACAAGTAAGGCAAATAAGACATGGGAACATCACAAGTCAGTCACATAACTAGTATAGCACCTTTAAATAGGACAGGGTAACATCGCAAGTCAGTCACATAACTAGTATAGCACCTATATATAAGGCAGGGTAACATCACAGGTCAGTCATTTAACATAACCAGTACCACGTATAAATAAGACAGGGTAACATCACAAGTCAGGCAAATAACATAACCAGTAAAACACCTATAAGTAAGGCAGGGTAACATATCACAAATCAGACACATAACATAACTAGTATAGCCCCTATAAATAAGGCAGGATAACATCACAAGTCAGTCATTTAACATAACCAGTACCACGTATAAATAAGACAGGGTAACATCACAAGTAAGTCACATAACATAACTAGTATATCACCTATAAATAAGGCAGGGTAACAACACAAATCAGTCACATAACATAATCAAAACAGCACCTATAAATAAGGCAGGCTAACATCACAAGTCAGTCATTTAACATAACCAGTACAACACCTAGTACAACAAGTCAGCCACATAACATAACATAACATAACAAGTATAGCACCTATATATAAGGCAGGGTAACATCACAAGCCAGTCACATAACATAACTAGTATATCACCTATAAATAAGGCAGGGTAAAATATCACAAATCAGTCACATAACATACCTAGTATAGCACCTTTAAATAGGACAGGGTAACATCGCAAGTCAGTCACATAACTAGTATAGCACCTACAAATAAGGAAGGGTAACATCACAAATCAGTCACATAACATAACTAGTAAAACACCTATAAATAAGGCCGGGTAACATATCACAAATCAGACACATAACATAACTAGTATAGAACCTATAAATAAGGCAGGGGAACATATCACAAATCAGTCACATGACATAACTAGTATAGCACCTTTAAAGAAGGCAGGGTAACATCACAAGTAAGTCACATAACATAACTAGTATATCACCTATAAATAAGGCAGGGTAACATATGACAAATCAGTCACATAACATAAGCAATACAACACCTATATTTAGGGCAGGTTAACATATCACAAGTCAGTCACAAAACATAATCAAAACAGCACCTATAAATAAGGCAGGCTAACATCACAAGTCAGTCATTTAACATCACCAGTACAACGTATAAATAAGACAGGGTAACATCACAAGTCAGTCGCATAACATTACCAGTACAACACCTCACAAATCAGTCACATAACATACCTAGTATAGCACCTTTAAATAGGACAGGGTAACATCGCAAGTCAGTCACATAACTAGTATAGCACCTATATATAAGGCAGGGTAACATCACATGTCAGTCACATAACATAACTAGTAAAACACCTATAAATAAGGCAGGGGAACATCACAGGTCAGTCATTTAACATAACCAGTACAACGTATAAATAAGACAGGGTAACATCACAAGTCAGTCATGTAACATAACCAGTACAACACCTAGTACAACAAGTCAGCCACATAACATAACATAACATAACAAGCAACACCTATAAATAAGGCAGGGAAACATATCACAAATCAGTCAAATAACATAACTAGTATAGCACCGACAAATAAGGCAGGGTAACATCCCAAATCAGTCACATAACATAACAAGTATAGCCCCTATAAATAAGGCAGGGTAAAATATCACAAATCAGTCACATAACAAAACTAGTATAGCATCTATAAATAAGGCAGGGCAACATCACAAGTCAGTCAAATAACATAACCAGTAAAACACCTATAAGTAAGGCAGGGTAACATATCACAAATCAGACACATAACATAACTAGTATAGCCCCTATAAATAGGGCAGGGTAAAATCACAAGTCAGTCATTTAACATACCCAGTACAACACCTATAAATAAGGTAGGGGAACATATCACAAATCAGTCACATGACATAACTAGTATAGCACCTTTAAAGAAGGCAGGGTAACATCAAAAGTCAGTCACATAACATAACAAGTATAGCACCTATAAATAAGGAAGGGTAACATCACAAGTCAGTCACATAGCATAACCAGTACAACACCTATAAATAAGGTAGGGGAACATATCACAAATCAGTCACATGACATAACTAGTATAGCACCTTTAAATAGGACAGGGTAACATCACAAGTCAGGCAAATAACATAACCAGTAAAACACCTATAAATAACGCAGGGTAACATCACAAGTCAATCACATAACATAACCAGTACAACACCTATAAATAAGGTAGGGGAACATATCACAAATCAGTCACGTCATTTAACATAACCAGTACCACGTATAAATAAGACAGGGTAACATCACAAGTAAGGCAAATAAGACATGGGAACATCACAAGTCAGTCACATAGCATAACCAGTACAACACCTATAAATAAGGCCGGGGAACATATCACAAATCAGTCACATAACATAACTAGTATAGCACCTACAAATAAGGCAGGGTAACATCACAAATCAGTCACATAACATAACTAGTATAGCACCTTTAAATAAGGCAGGGTAACATCACAAGTCAGTCATTTAACATAACCAGTACAACACCTATAAATAAGGCAGGGTAACATATCACAAATCAGTCACATAACATAACTAGTATAGAACCTATAAATAAGGCAGGGTAACATCACAAATCAGTCACATAACATAACAAGTATAGCACCTATATATAAGGCAGGGTAACATCACAAGTCAGTCACATAACATAACCAGTACAACACCTATATATAAGGCAGGGTAACATCACATGTCAGTCACATAACATAACTAGTACAGAAATATCAACTATTAACCCAGTTAACATTACCTTATGTTTCCCCAGGTTAATATGAACTGTTTCCCCTGTAAATAGTTTTTTCCCTTAAATGTTTTTCTCCTATGAATATGTTTCTGCTTTAAACATTGACTGTTTTTCCTAAAATATTTAGTTTTCTCCTGTAAATATTAAGCATTTTCCCTTTTGATATTAACAGCAGTAACTGTTTCCCTGTGAGTTTCATCTGTTAACTACTGTATATATTGTTTCCCTTGTAAATATTATCTAATTCTCCTGTAAATATCAACTGAACAGTTTGCCCATCAATACCAATTTTCCATTTAAGTATAAACTGTTTCGCCTGTAATGATAAACAAGGACCACAACTACAGTAAATAAAAAGGCATACTTCCTGTTGTGACAGAAGTGCCACTTGGTCCAGATGAACCATCACATGATCCTTCAGGTTCCCCCTCCGGTTCTCCGGTCGGTTCTCCAGTTGGTCCCTCCGGCTCTGGCTCTGGTTTTGCTTTTAAAAGAGGGATTTTAGATTCAAAATGTCTTCAAATTTTTCACTATCACTCAATACTCATTGATAAAGCTTAGTTGTTCTCCAGAAGAATAAAAGCCTTTTAAATGTGGCAGAAAAGCATCTAAAAGCATTATACAAAACAAGATACACAATGTAATGTTAGTGTATCAATACAGTTGAGAAGAATCTCAGATAAACTAAACAAGAAATTCCTCATGACACAGGACAAAAATCCTCATGACACAAGGACAAAAATCCTCATGACACAGGACAAAAATCCTCATGACACAAGGACAAAAATCCTCATGACACAGGACAAAAATCCTCATGACACAAGGACAAAAATCCTCATGACACA